GACCCCTACCTTCTATCCCTACCAAAGTGTATAGGAAGGAACGTTTGCTAGGGGCCTAGAAAGAATACCGCCTAACGCCCTAAAAGCATCAATTTGTTCTAGCACCGCTTTAGCGCGATTGTAAAAGAACACATTGGATGTCAGTTTTGTAATAAGTTGATGGTGAAGCAAGGCAGCATGTCTACAAAGTCATATATCCATGCTCTATGTTCGATATCCTCTTCGCTCTGTGCAAAAAGGAAGCCCAGTGATTGCAATGCTTTCGTGCTGGCCCCTATCAAAGCAAGGGTTTGGATTCGAAAGTATGTTTTCCTCATTGATAAGGTACGTTGTCCAGCACCAAAGATTAATACAGTCACCATAGCACGATTCGTATATCCTATCAACACAGACAACATGGCCCGTCGTTAGAACGTGTGCCTTGCATACTTCTGAATTGGCAAGCTTACCTTGGAACTTCAATGAGCCCGTGAGTGGGGTACTCAAAGCTCAGTCAACTTTAAAAAATTTCTGAATTTCGGACTACAGAACTTTTTATTGGGCCACCGTAGGTTTGCATAAGCAAAAATGGTTGGGTTTTAGATCGTAGAAATTGGAAAAAACTAGTTTAGTGGTGAGCCTTATCGGAGGCAAAGGACAGACCACTTCTAATCAAGAGAAGTCTCTAAATTACTGCCACTTGAAACGAAATGACTTCTAAGGCTTTTGCGAATTGGAAAAAACAGATTTCGGGTGTTGCAAACACCTCATACGTCTAGTAACAGAAATAAATTTGAATGTACCAGTGATTGATAAATGAAGTTGATCTTACAAAGCGGCTTCAGATTTCTGCGTCTCTGACCTGCGGCACGCGCGGCCAATATGTTGGCAATATGCGGCAATATGTTGGCCGTGAGGCTGACAGCCAAACTGATCTGCCAGTATTTTGTTACTTGCTGCAAACATGTTGCTGCGCGATGCCAACATGTTACAATCTTTAATTCAACTGGCATGGCGGCTGAAAGGCGGGGTTCTGTGACCTAAATGAGGCCGCTCGCGCCCGCAACTCAGTCTGCGTCTCTGTCGTGCGCGTGTTTTCTAATCATTATCTAACCTTAAAAGAAGCGTTCGGGCAAAAACTCAATTTTGAGGTTTTGTGCTTACCGGGCCTATACGCTATGCTGAATCTGAAAATCGACGCTGATGATCGCGGAAACGGCACAAAATGGCTGTAACACAGGAGGGAAATCAGCAGGGGGCGGGGTCCTCCTGCTGCCTTACAGGAATACGAATTTGCGCTCCCACGTTTCGGAGCGATTTTCTCGGTTCCGGTTTCAAAATGATCGTTCGTACTTTGCCGGTGAAGATGTCAGAGCGGCTAGCGAAATTGACAAGATCACTTCGGATGCTGGGAGCGTAATTCACAGTGGGGAAGACCTCGCCGCCCACTTGCTGTTTCCTTCTTGCGTTAGAACCCTTTCTCGCCGTTTTCGCACTCTACAGTGTGGGTTTTCGGATTCAGCATAGCGAATAGGCCCGGGTAAGCGAAAACCTTAGAATAGAGTTTTTGCCCGGACACTCCTTCAATAAGGTCACGAAGCCCACTCTTCCAGCCGCCAAGCCAGTTAAATCAAAGGGTACGTGGCGCCGGTCAGAGAGAGACAGACCAAGGATAGCAGCAACTTTGAAAGGGACAATATCTTTTTGAGATCAAAATGATATTTGGTTGTTGTGCTCGCCGTTTGTAAGCCCGCACTATTGTTGCTAAACGCAATAATTGCAATATATTAGATTGGTTGAAAAATAAGTTTGATCGTTTTGAACAGTTTGTGAAAATAATATAGTTGAATGTCTGTTTGAGTACATGGGATCTTTGGAGAGAGTAAATCAAGGAGAATTAAATAGCCAACTTTGTTTACGCAAAGCTTCTCTTAATATTTCTTACATCAAATCGTAAAGTCGTTCTCCAAAAAAACGAGATGAATTCGAAGTTCGCCTTTCTGTAGATCTTGGCATCTTGATGAACAATTATCTGCAGTTGTTGAGCCTTAGGCTTTGGCCATACTTCGCCCGTGTTGCCGATGTTTCCAGTGTTGCCAGTGTTGAAAGTGTTGCCGGTGTTGAAAGTGTTGAAAGTGTTACCGGTGTTGAAAGTGTTGAAAGTGTTGAAAGTGTTGCCGGTGTTGGAAGTGTTGAATAGAGATCATCAGTCTAGCAGTTTCATTCTTTCTCGAACGATCTCACCGGCTGGTGAATACGTTGGAAATGGAATTGGGGAATGAGAAATGAAACTGAAATGAGATGGGGAATGTTTTCGCATGCAAAAGATCCTCAAACAAACTTTTTGAAAAGTGGACGCCTTGTCTGGAATAGGCAATCTCCAATATTTGAGAAAGCTGACGTCTGAGTAGTAATGTGTTTTAGTTCGAATCCTGCATCGCTTGCGATTAGTGAGTAAAGGACCTAAGTGAGGTCTGCAGCGTTTTCAAATATTAGAGATTGCCTATTCCAGACAAGCCGTCCACTTTCCAAAAAGTTTGTTTGAGGATCTTTTGCATGCGAAAACATTCCCCATCTCATTTCAGTTTCATTTCTCATTCCCCAATTCCATTTCCAACGTATTCACCAGCCGGTGAGATCGTTCGAGAAAGAATGAAACTGCTAGACTGATGATCTCCGTTCAACACTTTCAACACTGGCAACACTTTCAACACCTTCAACACTGGCAACACTTTCAACACCGGTAACACTTTCAACACTTTCAACACTTTCAACACCGGCAACACTTTCAACACTGGCAACACTGGAAACATCGGCAACACGGGCAAAGTATGGCCAAAGCCTTATATAGCCAAGATTGTTAAAGTTCTTTATTAGGCTTATGTTTCGGCTTTTCGCATTCATCAGGGCCTAAAAAGCGAGGAGCAAATGAAAATTTTCCACGAGATGTCTCACACACAAGGCAAAGTCCAAAGTTGCTCCTTGCGTAGACAGCTCACCGCTTCGCTAAGCAAGGGACTGCACCACCACTCGTAGGCGTTAAGTGATTGATGAGCTAACGTGAGTGTAGATGATGTTCTTGTATCAAAACCAGCGTAATTCCATAAATGGTGCGAGTTCATTCGTTATGGCGACGCACTCTTCCTTTCTATTCATTTTTAGATTCCTGGTGAGGATCCATCCGGCTTCCAAAGTTTTACGAGCTGCTGCTTCTGTTTCTCACTCTAGAATCAACACCGAAATATCGAATTCTGCTTCTTCGTGGTGCAGTTTTTGATGCGTGCCTAACGGAGGCGACATTCTTATGTTGCGCATCCCGTCTATGTGTTCCTTAATTCTGAAACGCAGTGGCCTCATTGCGGCTTGTCGAAATACCCCCTTCGGGACTTAAACGGCGCTTGGTGCGAAACAGAGCAAATGATAAGGCTTGCATAGAAACGGATTGCTTGATATGCGCCACGAATAAGCAAGGCGACTGCATGTGCTCGGGTGACTTACCTTAAACGTGTAAAGCATGTGGCGATGAATACATCGGGGAGACGGATAGGCCACTGCGTCTCAGAATTAAGGAACACATGAGTCGGTGTCGATTCTGGAGCGAGAAACAGAAGCAGCAGCTCGTAAAACTTCAGAAGCCGGATGGATCCTCACCAGGAATCCAAAAATGAATAGAAAGAAAGAGTGTGTCTCCATAACGAGTGAACTCGCACCATTTATGGAATTATTTGGTTTATTATGGTTCTGATACAAAATCATCATCTATACTCACATTAGCTCATTAATCAGTTAACGCCTACGAGTGATGGCACTCCCTTGCTCGGCGAAGAGGTGAGCTGTCTACGCGAAATGCAGCTTTGGACTTTGCCTTGTGTGTGAGACATCTGGTGTATAGTTTTCATTTGCTCCTCGGTTTTTAGGTTCTGACGAAGGCGAAAAGCCGAAACGTAAGCCTGATAAAGAAATGAATTCGATTGTAATATGCGCATTTGGACCCAAACATTGAATTCCCATATTTCCAAACGTTTTAAGGCCATAGATGGTCAACAGACGAAATGGATACCCGAAAACTGACCTCCATGCACAATGCTCGAAATCTCTTACATTTTGGTTGCAGAAACTCATAAGCAGCAGATCACAACCTCCATTGTGGTTCAACATGTTGCCAAAGGTTGTGTGTATACGATCTTCAAATTACTAGTGCACACATTACAGCTTAGAAACGAAACTTTGAAAGATCGAAACTGTAGTTTTTTACAAGCTATATAAGGACGTAACTGCTCTAATTATCGATTAAAAAATAGCATAAGTGGAGTATGATAACAAAAATCATAGATAAGTAGCAGGCTTATATTTTTAAACAACTTTAATTTTAACTTTAAAAGCTGCATGTCAAAACGAAGTTATTTGCTAATCAACCTAATCAATCTTATAATTTGACTTAGCCACTTTTTGTATCCTCGCTCAAAAAGGATAGAAAGAGTCATAAAATTGGAACTAAACTTGGCAGACATAGTATATGGGATGGGACGTGTGTTGATAAGTCATTTTGTTTGAGACCTACCGTTGCCTCAATCGATATATTCATTTTTTGCAGTTTGCGTGATACCCGTTGCTTATGTTAGAATTTAAACCAAGATGTGACAAAGTCAAAATCATGCTCTCAGCTTTTCTTTCCCCACAGATTATAAATCGAAGTAACGTACAAAGTAGCAAATTCTCACATTTCCGCAATTTAGAGCAAAACGAACGATTTACGAGGCAGCAAAACTGCCCACTACTAGCCGAATCCCGCGTAGCGGCAGAGAGCGGCTGGTATATTATATACTACTATAGAATGCTTTGCAAGTGTTTTAAAGCAAAGGCATTGTTTGTGAGACCATTTCAGCATAAAAAAGCTTCGGATTCAAAACAGCTGTTGGAAACAGCAGCGAAGAATTTGGCGTAATCAGAAGAAACAATCAGGTTTTGGCCGTAATCTTGTCATTTTCGTAAACTTGCCGCATCCACATGTTCAACTTTACCTTGAGTAATCTCTTGGATTGTTTTGAATCTGAACGTCCCAGTTTAAAATATTGTCAAGTTTGGTCATAGGTCCAATTTAAAGATGAGAACAACTTGCCTTCCTTTCTTCTTGCCTTGCATTTAGTCTAAATCAATGTATACAAAATAGCACAAGCAAGACAGATATTCAGACCTTGCCCATTTTGTGGGGGAAGTTAACTAGGAATGAACATTTCTCAGTTTAGCTCAGTTGATTATGATTTGCGACTTCGTAAGCATTCATGTGAGAATAATCAGCAGAAGTAGGAGTGACCGCGTGTCCTGTTGCTCAAATTCTACAGCAATTGCTTTTCTTCTTAAAGTTGTCCGTTGAAAAAGACGTCACGAAGAATGGGAGAAATCATGTGCTCGAGATGCGCACACTTTAGCCCCATCCTCACATGTTTTTGTGACAGATGATCAGCTTTGCAAACGCGAAGATTCTATTTCACTAAAAACTTTGCATACGTTGATCTGGAATCATTGGAGCGTAGAAGGACTATTGCTGACTTATTTCTGTTCCTCGATTTTGCAGAAAGGGTTAGACCTTCCTGTCAGCAGCTTTTGGGTTTTCAGACCTATGAGTTGCAAATTGGGGGTCTCAAATTTTACTACACCAGATTAGATGATTGCTGCTAATCTGGGCTTTCAACATCTTAATTTATTGCTGTGCTCGCTGGTTTAGAGGACTGCTCAGACAATCGCTGGGGGCAAGCGGGCACCGGAAAAATAGATTGCTGATTTCTTGCACCCCGCTCGCGGATTTTTTGCGAAGCAATCAGGACTTTTCGGAAGACCGCTTGCTGAGTCAGCGGATTTTTGAGAGACCGCCTGTTGAATTTTTTTCGCTCTTATCTTTTGCAGATATATTGCTGAATCTCTGAGGAATCGAGAACTCAGCAAGCGGTCTCCCAAAAAGTCCTGATTGCTTTCCAAAAAATCCGCTAGCGGGGTGCGAGAGATCAGCAATCTATTTTTTCGGTGCCCGCCTGCCCCCGGCGATTGTCTGAGTGCCTGCTAAGTTGTCGTCAGCTAGAAGTAGCCGTTCTTGCAAAAGGGTTTTACAATAATCAGATATCTTAAGCCTTTTGAAAGCGGCTCTTATTTATGTCCAGATTCCAGGTCTAACCGAGATAGTATTATGTATGTATATATATGTAACTGAAGTTTTTTCTTTTGCTGTTGTGCCCGTTTTTGTATCACTCTTTTTCAGGTGTCTAATTTAAGTGCTATTTTGTCTTGTTGTTGTTGTACCTGTGCTGTGCTGGGTTAATAGTGGCTTACGGCTTACGTTTTTACGTTCGTCTAGGCTCATTCAAATTTTTAGTTCATATGTTCCATTAACTATTCCTTCGAGCTGTCCCGCCACAAGTAAAGAAGCGTAGTGAGCAACCAAATACTCGATCAATGCCACGCCAAACTTCCGTCTTGCTCTTGTAAAGCTGCGTTCTAGCCGCTGATTGTGAAAGTTAGCATTGATCGAGTATATGGTTGCTAACTACGCTTCTTTACTTGCTATGCTGCCATTAATCGCCAGCCATGTAGTCTTATCCGGAATGTGAGGTAACTCTAATCAACATATGTCTGGAAACTTTGCGCCCTGAATCATTCCCTTAGAATATCTATTCAAACCTTTATCGTTGAGTCTTTACACCTACCAACTTGTTCCAAATCTTGCTTTCTTCTAAAAAAATCCTACCGGTCTAGTAAGCTAGCTGCCCGAGGACTCGCTGACATAAAAAAGGGTTTATCAAAGAAGGATAGAGCAAAGTTCTAGTATGTATTGTACTTACTTCGATCACTTTTACCTTTCTGTATACCTACTAGTTATTGGGCGAGGGAATCTTTCTATTTTGATTAGTTTAGGTTTTGTTCTACGATTCATTCTCTCGTTCACATTTGGCTCCCTGAGGTTTAAGACTGGCTAGTAATCATACTGTTCAGGTTTTCTTTTTTCTTTTTTTTCCATTTTGTATGCCTGAGTAAAGTAAAGTAAATAACAATAAGATAAGTAACTTGAATAAGTAACTTGAAATCTGTTCCTTTTTCAGGGAATCGCTTTTGCTTGCATATGCTTGAAAAACGATTAACCGTCTGCTACGCATCAAATCGAGTGTTTGGTCCCCACTATCGCGATTAGGTTTCCACTATCCCTTGCCGCATTATTGAGCAGCAGCAAAGCTCATGAGCAATTATCCTTGTAAAAAGCAATTTGTCACCGCGCAAGAGGAGTGATGGCACCTTAGCAATGCACCCCATATAAGGTACTGTCTCAAAGCAAAGACTGTGTACAACTACTCAAATTTCGGTTCCTACATGATATAGCCGACGTCCCCTGTCCAGCCCGGACAGTGGTAAAGTGGCCTAACATGATGATCAAAGCGTCTTGTAGCTCACAATCGTCCCTTTTTCTTCATTCTAAATTTCCGCAATCTCTTTCCTCCTTCCTTTCTGCTTCTGCTCCTGGCGCTAGTGATACCCGTAGGTGTAGTCTTCCTTGATCGCCTCTCCTCGTAAAACTTTACCACCCTCGCCACTGAATGTTAATGATCTCTACCGCCCCTTCTGCTTTTCTCGAAGAGATGTAGATAGTAGCTGATAAGCTTTCATTTTCTTAAATGTAAGTAAACACATCAATAGATCGATAGAAGGGCTCAACAAATCGTCGCGAAAAGTAGCCTGTCTTTAGCGCCGTAGCTTGTTTATAGGAGTGAGAATTTCAGCCTGTTCGGTTCACATACGAAGGAGTCTATAAGCCGCAAACATTCTAACAAACGCTTACAGCGTTCGAGTTTTATGAATATGCTTTTTCTTTTAGAAGATTGCGCGATGGATTTGCCCGGTATGCCGACCCTCATTACTTCTTCGCGATAATCACCTCGGGGGAATGGCAGCCTTACTCCCCGGTCTGAACCCGCTTGGCTTTTCTGTCTGGTTAGTTTTGGAGAGTAAGGAGAGTGCTACTCCCGTCGCAATTAAATTCATGAAGAGAGCTCTTAAAAAAGGCATGAGAAGTATTGACGTTAACTATTTGGTGCCACGGTGGATGCGAAGCTTCTGAAGGCTTGTGTGCGAGCTAAAAGAATTTCGAGATTTGATGTATGCTCTCAAATTTGTAGGTTGTTCATGAGCTATGCTAGATTTCATGTATCCATGTGTTTTGCCCACTCAGACAACTGACCGGAACTTCCGCAGAATGTTTGGAATAGTTTCGCCGGGTCACCTGCGGAAGTTCCTCAAACGTGCTGCGGAATTTTCGAAGATTACGAACCACAGTGCAAAAGAGAACACCTAAGCGAGATTTAAACCTTACACTATTAACTGTAAGACTCCACTATCCTCTGCGCTACAGATGACATGATCGATAATGCAATCTAGTTGTTGGCGAGGCAAAGTGTACGAGACAAATTATTCAAAACCCTGCGAAAGTACTGGCATATCATGATGCTTTGGAACCGCTGGTAGTTTTCGGAATCTAAGCAGTATTTTGTAGAAAGCACTGCGGAAGTTCCCGTTTTCAACCAATCTGACGTAAAAATCTTACTGAAGTTCACTTTTTTACGTTACCACTGCTGTAATAGTGAACAAAATCCTGCGGAACCAGTGCAGTTTGCTTGTCCGGTGGAAGTTCCGGTGATTTGTCTGAGTTAGCATATCTTGATGACCAGCAGATCAAAATGAGCTTCACCGCTTATCCTTCATGACTACTGGAAATGTGCACAAACATACCAATTTTTTACTTTATATGCAGGGTATCCAAAAGTATGTATACATTGTTTGATCGTCGATATCTCCTTCTCCCATAAAGTGTTTGCCTACTTTTAGGTACCATTCTGTAGAGCTGTCAACTTAGAATTGCAGTACGATTCACCTATTGCTCTTCATCACTGTAGGATTACTGTAGAAACTTCAAAGAGGATTTTGAGCCATTGAGGGCCCTATTGCGCGAAAGTGAAGTAAACAGCATGAAAACTCTCACACTAGACTGATTCCGAGCCATTAAATCTTATATATAAAGCTGAATGTCTGTTTGTCTGTATGTATGTCTGTATGTATTAGGTTGTCCCGAAAGTTCGTTCGCACCATTTTCAAAAAATCATAACATCTTTGCATCATGACAATTTTGCGCAATTTGAATTTTGTTAGAAAGCGTAAAGCATGTGGTTTCCAATATTTTCCCGGGAGGCTTTCCAGCATGTTCAGATTGCAGAGATAAAAGTCAAAGAACGAGAACATCCGAAATTCGGAATTTTTGAGCAAAAATTCTAAAAATCTAGAAACTGCCCGATAAAATCAAGAAAAGCCATTATCCTAATTTTTCTTATATCTGATTACTAACTGAGTTAAGTTTGTACTGATCGAGCTCTTTTTTCAAAAGTTATGATTTTTTGAAAAAAAATGCCGAAAAATCACTTTCCTAAGAATTCCTAAGAAATTGGTATTTCGGCATTTTTTTTCAAAAAATCATAACTTTTGAAAGAAGAGCTCGATCAGCACAAACTTAACTCAATTAGTAATCAAATATAAGAAAAATTATAATAATGGCTCTTCTGGATTTTATCGCGCAGTTTCTAAATTTTTAAAATTTTTGCCCAAAAATCCCGAATTTCAGATGTTCTCGTTCTTTCATTTTTATCTCTGCAATCTGAACATGCTGGAAAGTCCCCAGGGGATTATTGGAAACTACATGCTTTACGCTTTCTAACAAAATTCAAATTGCGCAAAATCGTCATGATGCAGAGAAGTTATGATTTTTTGAAAATGGTGCGAACGAACTTTCGGGACAACCTAATATATCTGTGTGTACGTATGTTCCGAATAGAAAATTCCATTTCTGAACCGATCCGGACCAAACTTGGCACACATACACTTCGGGCCCCGGAGGGTGTCATAGGCTACTTTTCGTTATCGATCTATATCGATTTTATAGATTATTTGCAAAATTTGAGCTACAGGGCTGGGAGCTGGCACAAGGGGGTAATCGAGCATGCTGATTGCGAATATAATAATGACAGGGCCGGGCGGAGCCGGGTAAGGCCCCGGGCAGACTTCACGCGATTTGATCGTCGCGACTGAATCGCGACGAGACAACTGTTACAACATCATTCCATGCCGATCAACTTGCATTCGGTTGTGATACTTCTCCAGCCCGAAATTTTTGAA